AGCACTACAAATCCCATGAAGAACACTTGTCCAAGAAATTTCATCTTGTTCGACAAAAATAGAGCCTAACCGAAGCTCGAAAAATTGAGTTTTCATGCCTTCATCAACTCAAATGATCACACAACAACATAGCCTCGATATCAATACTTTAAGACTTAAACATTCGATTTATCATCATACACGTTGTCCGAGGTCCAACGCGGTCTTATTAAACAAGATAGAAAAATAAAGTATTATGCATTTCACTTGAATTATTACATCTTTTGGTTTGATAATATATAACAATTCACATTAATATATAAATTCAACCTCAATCATCGAAGATCACATATATATCAAATAAACACATATCCTTATCTCTTGCCAATGTAATCATGCTTCGAGCTAGCATGAACTCACTCCTACTAAGACACACATTAAACATATAGCACACCAGAGGTTGAACAGAGGCCATGAACATCCATAAAAATGGCAGCCTATAAGATATTGACTCATCTCATAATTTTTGAAACCTGGTAAAGGTCCGAAGAGGGCGAATACATTCCCGGTTCTCATTGACCGGGTCCTCACTTGAAGACATTGAATATAATTATATAGCAAGAGAAACTGTAATGGGCATAACTTATCTCGATTACAACATACTGAAACTAATAACGAGGAACCTCTATAATTCGAACTTAACTCTATATCACTAGAGTTCAATATCAAACACTAGAGTTCGAATTAAACCAAAGGTGGATAGATTTCCTAAGCCCCAAATTTCAACATTTCATATCATAAGCAGTCTTATTACTACTTAGGAAATTTTAGCTGCATTTTCAATTTGCAGCTGAAAATGCAAATTGAAAAACTCCCGGCAGTATCCGGATAAAGCCACGTCGGATTTTTCCGGAGGGTCCTCAAAATCTTTGATTTCACTGCGCTTCCAAAATTCCTGAAAAATTAGCTTTTTATGATTATATTGGCAATAATCCAGCAAAAGGAGGATTATTCAGGGCAAGCTCAATGGATAACGGAGATGGAATAGCGGTTGGGTGGTTAGGACACCCTATCTTTAGGGCTAAAGAAGGGCGTGAGCTTTTTGTACGTCGTATGCCTACTCCCTTCCTCTACAGAGAAACCTTTCCTCCAAGTCACAAGATACGAGCCATTTCCACCATTTTTCTACAGATCAAGATCAATTTCGATCTATATAATTCCTTTTTAAGAGATAAGATTCAATAGAAAAATATTCGAAGTGCCCTATTGACTTTGACTCGCGAGAATTTGGGGTTTTTGACAAAATACAAATTCACATCGTAAGTACTTTCATTGCTACTTATGTGGAAACATACAGTTCACCTTATAAGTATTTTCATTAATACTTATATTAAACATACCTTAAGCAGCGCGACGTGACGAAGACGAATGGTCGTAATACAATGTCTAATCACATATTCACATATAAACCAGTCTACAGAAACGCAGACTGGCTCTGATACCAAACTGTAACGCCCACTTTATTTTAAAGATTTATCGAATTTAATTAATAAAAATCAGAGTTAATTTTTTCAAATCTCAATTTAATAAAAACTTAGTGGGCGCTACTTATCTTACCAAAAACTTTTATCCGAAAATGCCAACACATCAGATAAAGACAGAATGCACGAATAATAAATCATAAACGAAACTAGCATTTATTAAGTTCCAAATCATAAAGATAATTCATAATTCCAAGTTCAAAATGACATAATCAAAATATCCCAACATGAGTTCCTTAAATGAGCGGAAGCAAATAAATAAGCAATAAATAAAAACATGACCACCACCCGTCTTGTCTCGTCACCCGCCAACTGCTTAACCTGCATCCGTGAAGAGCAGGTGGGAGTGAGTACAGTTAAATATCGTACTCACACTATGCATATGTATAACATATAAATGGTATGGTCGCAGCATGAACAAAAACAATAAAATCATTCACATCTCTAGTCACATCAATGACTCTAGTCTCACCAAAGACTCACCCATGTACATCTATGCTCATCAAAGCTAAGCCATGCCATATCAGTGAAACATGAGAGTGCGTGCCACATCAATGACACAGCCTTCTCATAGGTCTTTATGAGATTTACCTCACAGGGTAACCGTATCTTATCATACGGGGACAACCGTACCGTTGGCCATCAAGCTCACATCGATAGGCTACATATTCATTTTCATACTTAGATCACACCAAACTTTCATCACAATTAAACTCACGCATATGCATAGATAATTTTTGAATAACAACCCACCTGGTACCGAAATAGCAACTAAATACTCAAGAGTCGATAGGATGATAGCACGGCTCGTCAAACACCTACAATGGTTATGAGGTTCTTATCAAAGACTATCCAACACATAGATGCACTCATATCAACATTTATATCAAAACCACTTAGGTCAATTCAGCCCATATAAGTCATATTAGCAAGCATTAAAAAGATAGATTTTATTTTCGAAAACACCACATAAATTTTCGAAACACAACCCGCGCAACGATTTTGAAATCGACACCCAATGCAGCAAACAATTCATATTGACACGAAATCAGTTGCATATGAATCCTAAGACATGCCTCTAAAATTCTTATGAAGACATCAGAAGCAATTAATGTCATTTAGCAGGCCTTAGAACATCAAACATATGAAACGGGGATGCTGTGAAAAATCTGGAAACATGTAATGGACAGAACCTCAGTATATTCAATATAAGTGGAGCTATAGACATTCTATCAAGGAAATTCCAAATACCAAAATGCATCTAACTCAATTTTAAACAACTGTGCTGAAGACCACATTGTCAAATAAGGGCATTATCAACAGTTTTAAGCACAAAATATTTGGGTCATAAAATCTGTCGGAACTTGGTTCAGTTTACAAACAGCACTTTGGTATTTATAGTCTAAATCATTATATAGACCTCCAATTGATCAGATTTTAAAACCAATGGATAGACGAGAAGCATACCAACAATGTTCATGAAGATCACTTTCACATTTGAGCATGTTAGGACATCACTTTCAGACCAAACATCAATATCATATACTCAGCCCGTTTTTCAAAAACTGCTTGCATAACATATTTACAAAACTCACATCTCATGCTACACTTATCATATTGACATTTTTCTTACCTTGTTAGAAACCTAAGAGACACAGTTCTACAACTTTCATTTATAATGATAAGGTAGATAAGGTCATTACAAAGGAGTAAAATCAACTAACATTTAGAACCACCTTGCTGTCTAAAAGTATAACTCACTACATGCTTATCCTACTTCTATCTAATACAAACCGATCTACAGTAATCATATCAACATGAATTGTACCTCATCAGAAAGCTTAGAAATAAACCTATAACGTTCATGATGACCATATTTCTATTTGAGCACATTAAAATGCAACAAACAGGTAAAACATTAAACATAAACTTGCTGCTGGGTTTTGTTAAAAAACTGCTCGCGCTATATTTCTGTAAAAATCATGTCTCTCTCATCTTAAATCGGATTTTCGAAATTCCAAAACTCACCGAACCACAACAGAATGAACTTCAAGTCTTATGAAAAAAAAAATTTAGAATACGAGTTTTTCATGCCCTTTCAGAGGCTCGACAGAGGCTGTAAAATTCACTTTTAACCACACATGTGATATACAAACCTCATGATTTCACCAAAACACCATATAAACATCACCAACTTCATCATATCTCATGTATAACATGAATTCAACATATAATCACATATATAAATATACTCAAATTCAATATCATCATATAACGACACATATCATCTAAAAGACAAAGGATAGCCACCCGTTACCGTTCACCACACGAGAGAACAAAGAACAAAGGTGAAGGCTCGGTTAAACTCTCGGATTTTCTTCCTTTTTGGTGGGGAAAGATGGAGGAGTTCTTCTTGATTTCTATTAATGTCCAAGATTAACTCAACTAATGAAAGAAGACTTATATTAATGGAGCTAGTGGCCGAATGCAAGAAATGGACAAACTCTTGTGGCTTTGACCTCTTCATATGCATATGATGTTGTTTTGCCTTGAAATCAATCTTTCATTACAATATGGGAGTAATAGCTGGACAAAACAATTCTAACCGAGGCCACATGGAATAGGGAACAAAATTTGGTCTTATTTAATGTAAGACAAAACATCTTACACATTGCATTATCATAATAATATCACATGATTCACTAGATGCCAAAAATAATTGACATTTCTTAATACATCTCAAGACTTATTTAACTCTTAATCCACATGCTATCACACGCATGAACTTGCACATGAAGGGAAATAGAAGACATCTCATACACCTTTGCATAAAATATTGAACATGCATGAAATGGGGAACATTTGAAGTGGATTTTTTTTTTTTCTTCTCCATGTGAGTTTAAATGCTGAAAATTCATCTCAAATTAAATAATGGTGAANATAACATGGCTTGAGATGGCAAAACAATTAAATTTGTCATTACTTAAAATTTTTGAGTCTTTTACTAAACAAAATCCGAATTTATAAACTTTATAACTTGTAACAATAATTCTATTCATGGTCTTGATGTTTACTAAAAAGATTGAGAGGAAAAATATATTTTACGGAACCAAATTCAAACTTAAAATATGGCTACAACCGAAAACGAAGAATTTGACTAAAATTCGATTTTCAACTCTTTTGGTTGGTTTTGATGTCTGAAAAATACTATTAAATAGTTGAAATTATAATGGTCTCAAATGGGCTGGTTGAATTGGTTCGAAGTTCGGTCACAACGGTTCGAAAATGAATTACAACGGACAACAATTCGGCTTACGCGAGTAAACCGAAAATTCAAACAACGATAGATAAAATAAAATTGAACAAGCTATATAATCATATAATAATATAATATATAATCACATAATCAAGGCATATAAATAATAAAATAAAATGCCATTAATTAAATAACTTAGAAAAATCTAATATTCGAACGGAGCGCTACACCGACCAAAAGCTACTCAAGAATATCCGGTCTCGATCACAATCGAACGAGGAACCCACGTGTAGCTTCATCATGTACTCCACAAATAAACGTGTGATCGACTTCGCCGTGTAGGTGTGTGTCAAGGGAATGAAGTGCGCGTACTTCGTGAGTCGGTCCACCACGACCATCAACCCAATAAATCCATTGGACATAGGTAGCCCTTCGATGAAGTCCATGGTGATGTCTTCCCAAATCCGCTCGGGAACGGGTAAGGGCTGCAACAGTCCCCCAGGCCGACGCGAGTCTGCCTTTACCCGCTGACACTCGTCACACCGTGCCACATACTCCTGCACTTCTCCTTGTTGTCCGGGCCAATAAAAAGTGTTGGCCTGCCTCATCCACGTGCGATACACGCCTGAATGTCCTCCAAACATTGAATCGTGGACGTGCTTGATTATCGTCTCCTTCAGAGGTCCAGTGCTTGGCACGTACACGCGGCCTCGACAAAGGAGTAAGCCATCGTGGTCATCGTACTCGTCGACGTCTGCGTCCTTGCATTCCATCTTGCCGCGCATCTCCCCACAAAAGGCGTCGCCAGCCTGTGCACGCCTCAGGTCATCCCAAAGGGCCCAGGTCGGCCTGGAGATTGCGTCTAGCTCGGGCACGTCCATCCTGCGTGATAATGCATCGGCGACAGCGTTTTGCCGCACGGGTCAATAGACGATCTCAAAGTCAAACCCCATGAGCTTTGAAACAAACTTATATTGTTCGGGTGTGACAATCCTCTGTTCCAAAAGGTGCTTGAGGGGCTGTTGGTCGGTCACGATTCGAAAGCGTCGACCTAGTAAGTACGGTCTCCAACATCGCACCGCCTCGACTACCGCGAGCATCTCTTTGACATAGACCGACATCCCTAGCTTCATAGTCTCAAGGGCCTTGCTAAGGTAGGCTAGTGGTCACCCTTCTTGGACTAGGATAGCTCCGATCCCAATGTCGCTCGCGTCGGTGTGAACTTCAAACAAGACGTCGAACTTTGGCATGGCTAGCACAGGCGTGGTGGTCATTGCGCCCTTTAATTTCTCGAACGCGGCCTCGCTCGCCTCACTCCACTTACTTCCTCCCTTCTTGGTCATTTCCGTAAGTGGTTTGGCAATGGTCCCATAATCTTTCACGAACTTCTGGTAGTACCCGGTTAATCCCAAGAACACGCGCAATTGCGTTAGGCTCGTTGGTTTAGGCCAATCGACCATGGCCTTGATTTTTCCCGAATCAACTTTCACGCCCTCGTGTGAGATAAAATGGCCGAGATACTCCACCGTTTCTTGCCCAAAGGAGCACTTCGAGGGTTTGATGTGGAACGAGTTTTTCGCCAAGATCTCCAAGACCACGCGTAGATGCTCAATGTGCTCCGGCCATGTCCTTGAGTAGATCAAGATGCCATTGAAGAACACTAGCACAAATTTGCGCAAGTACTCTTGAAAAATCGAGTTCATAGAAAACTGGAAGGTCGAGGGCGCATTGCAAAGTCCGAAAGGCATCACCAAGTACTCGTAGTGCCCTTGATGCATCCAGAAGGCAGTCTTCGGTATATCCTTCTTTGCCACGCGGATTTGATGGTACCTGACCCTTAAGTCGAGCTTAGAAAAATAGCGCGCGCCTCCCAACTCATCCAACATGTCATCAATGCTCGGTATAGGGAATCGGTCCTTGATGGTAGCGGCATTCAAGGCACGGTAGTCCGTGCAAAAGCGCCACGTGCCGTCATTCTTTTTCGCGAGTAGTACCGGCGATGAGAACGGGCTCGTGCTGTGTTAGATTAGCCCAGACTCTAGCATCTCGCTGACTTGCTTCTCGATCTCGGCCTTTTGAAAATGCGCATATCGATACGGGTGGACATGTACCGGTTGTCCTTCTTCGACCAACAGTATGCGATGGTCGTAAGCTCTCCTTGGTGGCAGTCCCTTTGGCTCGGCAAGCACCTCGCCGAACTCCTCGAGTAGGCCCCAGATCTCCTTCTCGTGTCGCGATGGGCCAGTGGACCCTTCCTTCTGCCCCTCGACGACCACAGCATATATTTGGCTACCTCCCTTCTACAATTTTTCGATGCTTTTGAGCCCTATCTCCTTAGCTCCTTCGTCACTGCCAACCTTTATGGTTACACGTCGTTTTCCCATGACAAACTTCATAACTCCTTCGCGGTAGTTAGTGGTCACATTCTTGAGCCCTCCCAGCCATTGGACCCCGAGAACTACATCGGGCCCAACTAAAGGTAATGCATATAGATCGGCCTTCATCGTCACGCCTTGTAGTTTAATCGGCACACCTTTGTACACCTCGCAGCATCATAGGCGCTCCCCATTAGCAACCCTTACGTTGAAGGGTTCAATCTTGGTCACGGGCAATTTTAATTTTTGTCACAATATCGTGTTAATGAAATTATGCGACGATCCGTTATCCACGAGCACTGTGATGTGTCGGTCACAAACCCTTGCGAATAGGCGCATGATCCTCGGTCCTCTCATTCCGGCCATGGCATGGACCAAGATCTCCGCCTCGTCTTCGTGTGCCTCGGGGTTAGCTTCTTCGGCCTCAACCTCATCCGCTGCGGGCTCGTCATCCTCAGAATCGATCACTTGGATTAAGTAGGTCTGTTTGCAGCGATGGCCCGGTGTGAATTTCTCCTCGCACTTGAAGCACAACCCCTTCTCTCGCCTCCTTCGCATCTCCTCGAAGGACAAGCTCCTTACCTCCGGTGGTCGCGGCCTGAAATTGTTAGGTGGCCCGCTGTTTGCGCCTCAGTTAGGAATAGGCGCACTGGGTGTCACTCGTCGCTGCTCGTTGAAGCGAACATCGTTGCAGCCAGATGGTCGTCTCACCGACGCGCAACCTCCATTGCTTCACGCATCGCTGCGAGTCTCTCTAACCGAACCTCTGCGGCCAACTCGAACTTCAATCCCCCTATGAATGCCCCGACCAATGCTCCCTCGAGCTATCCGCGTACGCGACATGCGATGCGCTTGAACTCCCGTTGGTAGTCATGCAGGCTCCCTATTTGCTTGATGTGCGCAAGAGCTCATCATAGTTGAGGTAGTCTGAAGCGCCAAATCTCATGATGTGCTCCTTCTCAAAATTTTCCCGTCTAATTTGCTCATCTCGATTTTGATAGATAGTCGAGAGCCACTACCACCAAACATTCGCCTCACTGTCAAGATAATAAGCCGCATACCTAACCCATTCGGTCCGTGCGATCTCGTTAAGGTTGAAGTATTGCACAACCCGGTTTAGCCATGCGCCTGGGTCCGATCCATTGGAAGTCGATAGCACCATCCTCGGCTTCTCGACCCTAGGTCTCTCTACGTTGGTCGAGGCATGAGACCGACGGTCAAAGTCGTCCTCTCTTTCCTCGTACTCCGCCCTCTCACGCTCGTACTCCCGCGTTCGTGCTCGGGCTCGACCTCCTGTGGCGGTTTCCGTACCAAGCGTAGGACCTCGTCGATCTTTTGGTTCATGGTGTCCATCATGGTTTGTTGTGAATTATGAAACGACCTCTCCAGGTGCGTGAGGTTGTCCGCCATTGACACGTTGGTGGCTTCCAATCCTTCGCCTAGGCTTGTCATCTTTGTCTCCATCCACGAGCTTTTCCTTGGTTTCTTTCACCATAGAGAAAGTTTTTTTTTTTTTTTTTAAATCTCGAAAATAAAATCAAAGAGATGGGATAAAGAACACACGATTGGTTCTCTCAATGAAAGCACCAATGATGAATAATCGCGTGTCCCGACTCGTGACCTTGCCTTAGTCGTTGCCTGTGCTTTGGCCTTCGGCGAAGGTACGGACGACTCGGAGGTTAATCTCCTTATCTTCTCGCGATAGGTGAGACAACTCGGAGGGATGTCCTTGCCAAACTCGTCTTGCTCGAGCAATGCGGTAGAACGCCCTTCTCGTGACAAGGATTTTGCGTTAAATAACAAGAGAAATCTAACACAAGAATTTGAACAAGTAGTTCGGTTTTTTCAGTAATAGTTCGATCCTATAATTAACAAGAGCATGCGCCTTTATATAGGCTTCAAATAAGTCTACTCCTAATCAATTTAAATCTCCTAATAAGCAATAACTAATTAAAGTCCTAAACAATCTAGAAATCATTAATAATAAGAAAACTAAATATCTAATGAGTCCTAAGTAGATCTAGTCTTATGCGCCAAGCAAAGAAACCCTAGCCGTCGTGACTTCCTCGCCTTGCCGCACTCCTCGAGGACTAAGGTCTCGATCCTCGCGCGTGTATCCCCTTCACGCGGTCCTGCTCGGCGTGGTCCTCGGGCGCGTTATCGCACCCGCCCGCGTGCTCGCACGCGTTGCGCTCATTTGCGGCTTCCTCGGCTGCGCTCTTCTTGTGTGCGTTGTTTCGCGCGCTACCACCCGCGCTCATCACGTTAACCTCCGCAGCCTGCCGAGCTAGCCGTTTGTGCGTGTGATACGCTCAACTCGCAGCATTTTTCAGGCGCCTAGCCACGTCCTCATCACGCAACCCCAGTGCACGCGACAGCGCCCAGCAAAGCCTGTCCGTGCCAGTTTGCGAGGTCTCGGTGCCAGTCGCGCCCAAGCACCAACGCCAACGCCTGGCAGCTTTGTCCCATCGTCAGTGCACGAGTGGCCTCGACCCAGTCGCTCGTGCCATGTGGAGAAGACCTCGGGTCGTGCCAACCGCACGCCCGAGTGTTCAGTGTCATGTCCAGTAGACCTCGGGTCATGCCAGCAGCACGCCCGAGCACTCAGTTGGCCCCGGGACGTACCCAGCAGCGCGCCCGCGTGACCAGGGTCGCCCGGCACAGCCCTAATCACCCCAGCCGCGCCATAGCCGCGTGAGTAGTGTCTGGCCACTTCAATTCTCGTGCCAGCCGCACTCAGGCCGTGACCAGCCGCACTCAGGCCGTGACCAGCTCGTGACCACCCGGTCCAGAGAGACCCGACGGTCCAGCCCAGTCCAGTTCAGCCCGACCCAGTTCAGCCAGTTAGCGAACTGGCCGATTTAGCCAGCGGTTCGAGTTAGTTTTGGTTCGTGATTTTCGGTCCGAGTCTTATTCCGAAATTTAAATATTTTTCCGAGCCAAACCAGTTCAGTTGAGCTGGTCAGTCTAATTTTTCGGACTTATTATTATTTTAGCGAACCCTTAGAGCGTTCCTTTAAATTTGGATGAGTTATCTGATAGAGTAGAGCATCTTAGCATATTATTGAGCATATGACGAGCATAGTACTTAGTATATTTGTTTGCTTATATTTTTATGTAGTTTGAGGAGTCAGCTACTAGCACAGCAGCACTTACGTATTTTACAAAGCAGATCAGGTGGGGACCCAGTATGGTATTACGTTGAGTATAATAGTCGAGATCATGTGCAGGTATGTATATGAGTTCCGCTTAGGGTCAAGGCCAAGTTTGCCTTCCCTAAGTTCTGGTGGTGGCCCAGATCGCCTTAATTATACCATCAGAGTGTGCACACGGGTACCGGCCAGAGTGTTTCGGGAGTTACCAGCCAGAGTGTTCCGGGAGTTACTGGCCATAGTGTTCTGGGAGATTTCTGTTTACTTATATATACCTGTACTGTGATCTCATTATAATTATTGTTGTTTACCTTAGCATGGGTTCTTATGGAGTATAAGAGGACTAGTACTCAC